GTTAGCAACCACCACAGGAAGAAACTTCAAACCTGAAGAGATGCTCGACTGTGCATAAAAGAATCTGAAAGTGCCTGTGAGCTTACACCTGGCCCCAGTAGAGTCTCCTCATCAGCATTTCAAGCCAGGCCTCAGAAAACTAGGGACAGAATCTTGCAAGCACAGAAACATACACAAATTTCTTTGCTTCAAACCTAATCTCATGATTTCAGTCTATATATCCTAATGCCTCTCCAGTGTTCTAACCATCTTGTTCTTTTTAAAGTGTGCTTCTGCAGGGAGTTCATGCTACTAGTACAGCAGCACCCCCCTTAGCTAAGGTTTCGCTTCGTGCAGTTTCAGTTACTTGTGGTCAACTGTGGTCTGAAAATAGATGAGTACAGTACAATAAGCTATTTCAAGAGACAGAGAGAGATATTTATCTAATTATTATTATGGTATATTATTATTAATTGTTCTATTTTATCATTAGTTCTTGTTAATCTCTTATTGTACCTAATTAAAAAAAATTATCATAGGTATGTATGTGTACACTATATAAATAGTGTTTGGTAATATCTATGGTTTCAGACATCCACTGGGGGTCCTGCTATGTCTCCCTTGCAGATAAGGGGGGACTACTGTAGCTTCTCTTCTGATTAAACACATCTGCCGCCAAAGAGCAGGTATCTCCTGGGCACAATAAAATTACCAAAAATTTTGATGTTGCAAAAGATTTTGAACACTGATAGGTTAAAATATGTCTAAAGTTTTCTTAGACTTTGAAGCACCTAAGGAAAAATTCTGTTTAGAATTTAAGGTTCTTCAAATAAACACAGAAACAAATGTTAATATAGTAGAACTCTTTGTAAAAACAAATACAGACAATTTAAACAACTACTGAGGTTAAAGGGTAATTTTCAGAAAAGGTTAAAATCATGACTGTCATACAAATACGGAAGTGAACACATCTTTAAGATTTTAATTTAACTTATTAATGAGGAAACTGGCAAGATGTTAAAACCAGCTCAAAGGAGAATCTGAACAGCAGACACAATTATAGATCAGGAAGACTGAAATAATTGTGTAAATGGGAGGTAAAACTCACCTTTTCCACAGTGGCTAGGGAAGTCAACTGAACCTCTATGGAACAGAATTTACATGTCAATGGACAAAAATTATATTGTATTACTCTCTGTTATCTATAACTCACAGAGTTATAAAGTTGCTCCCTAGAATCAAAGAATTAGATAACCCAAATGTTGTGCTATAGATGACAATGCATAGCTTTCCGTGGAAGCACAATTTTTTCCCTACCTGGATCACGATTATTTTATTTACCACTATATTCTGAAAAGCTGGTATATGGTAGATAGTCCATAAATACTTGCTGAAAGGATGAATGAATGTCCACTATATGAGTCATTAAGCTAGTCATTAAGTTAGGCCCTTCACATTCATCATCCCATTTAATCTTCCCCCAAATTCTTTAAGATAAATATTATCATTTTACTGACAAGAAACTAACGTGTGGCATCATGTGGCATCATGTTTCTATTACATGTCAAAGGCTGGGGTAGAGGGCAGGGAGGATTTGACTCAGACCTATGTGCAGAAAACGTCTCTCTGTTTTCTTCTTCTTTTTCTCTCCATTTAATATATGTCTTTTTTATTTATCATCACTGGACCATGTGCCTCTAAATCAAGAGATGTTTGTATACAACACTGATATAACATGCTTCCTCAATGAGCATGATAGAGGAGATCCTTGCTTTAAGAAAAATAAAAGAACAGCAGCACTCAAGAGAATCTAAGCATAAATAAGAGACACATGAACAATCTTTTCTTCAGCCTTAAAGAGTAGCACAGGACATTTACCAGCCCAGAATGTTTTGTTTCCCATAGATGCTCCTTTCCCTCCTTTCCCAGGATAATAAAGCTGGATGAAGTCAACATTGTGTGTATCGTTTTGTTATCACAGATACCATCAGGGCAACACTTGGAAAAGAGCAGCAGCTCACATGCATTGTATGCTCATTGTGACTGTGGACTACCTTCATAGCAACACTATGAGGTAGATACTATTAGCATCTCCTCCTCTGCAGGTGAAGAAAGCTGACGTGCACCCAGCAACCTTTACAAAATCACAAGGCTATGATGCAGCTCTGGGCTGCGACCTGGTACTTGTAACCATTCCCCTGTCCTCTCTAAAGTTACTCTCCTGTCTGCATAGCCTGGTGAGGTTTGCTCTGTCATCACATCTTGAGTTTTACAAACCTCTTTGCCCTTTTCATCACAGCCTCCAAGAGTACTGGGATTCCCACAGCTTCTAGCATCATAGGGCTGGTAAATGCACACTGGCTGAAGTCCTGAAAGCTATTTTCTGGCCACTTGGCACTTGTGATCATTTGGGTATTTTGCATTCACTCTTAGAGAGGCAGGGGCCAGAGAACAGGGGAAGAGAGTGGTCTTCTGAGGTTTCAAACAGGTGAATGTCAAAAAGATGTAGACCAAAAGTTAATCTGAAATCATTCTCTCTGTTCCCTAAGTCCCCAAATAATTCCCTGCTTTCTTCTTCTTGCCAGAAAATAGGCTGCCCTTAAAAGGAAATAACGGCATGTTTTTCGACACCTCCAGGTGAGTCCTGACATGAATAATAGCACAATGCCGGCATGTAAAAGGAGTCAATAAACTGTTAGCTTAGTGGTTTACCTATATTATTTCACTTAATGTTCACAATGTCTCTCTGAGCCAGGTACTATTATCTTTATTTTGGAGATGAGGAAGTGAGGTTAAGTAACTTGTCCAGGTTAAGCAGCTTGCCAAGATCTCAAGAAAGTTATGATTTCCCAATACCAGGTGTGTTTCATGAAGACCAAGTCTGCCACCAAAAACATATGACAACTGTTTGAAATACATACCTCATTTCCACACTCCTATCCTCATGTCACTTAGCAGAAAACCTTGGGAAGTGGGACCATTTATTCCATACGCACTGAAGCATGAATCTTTATTTCTGAGGACTGTAAGGCTCATCCTCTTCAAACCATTATAAATGCTTATCCTTCCCTCAAGGGGACCTCATAATTCTCACCCCTAATAAAAGATAACACTGCTTTCAAATAAGATCATGAAAAAGGCTTTGCCATTACTATCGCACAGGCATTAAGAAACATTAAGCAGCCATTATCTGATGAAGGCTACCATAATCAGGCAAATGGTTACTAACTGATTGATTACGTTTAGGAGTAGAATAACTGACCCTAGATGGGCTTTTCTTATACTCTTAAGGGAGGAACTAAGAAAATGAAATGTAGACACTTGGAATCGAAGCTAAGTACCCATGCTGCCTTCCGAATTTCATAGATTTCATCCAAAAGGGCCATTGGCTCTAGTTGGGAGTGGCAGAGAAGAAATGCATAAAGGACCCTTTTTATATTTAAAATAGAAGGATTTTACTCTCTTGTTTGTTAACTCAGCTTCAGCTACAATTGGGTGTTTTCCCTATATATTTAGACATATCAATGTGGTTGGCAGGAACCTAGGATCATCTAGCTCAGCATTTTTTTAAACATTTAGTGCTTAAATGTTTTAAAAAGTTTTTTTTTTTTAAATCAATCAAGTTTTCAAAATCAATCAAGTTTTCTGTGTGTTTCAAATATATACAACAGACATAAAGGAAGCGGTTTTGGTTCACACACCCGCCTCTACCCAAAGCACACCCATGTCCCTTTGGCCACGTCCATGAAACGCACTTAGAAGACCACCGACTAAGACCTCTTCTAAGAAGGTGAACTGACCTGCCCTAGATCTCACAGATACAGCCTAAAAGCGGAGCTGCAAAAATAAATACTTTCTGCTTAACAAGTCCCTTTTCATAGTAATGGGGTGAACAGACCAAGAGAGATTAGGATTTGTCATGATAGAACGTATGGGTTTGGAAAGAGGTTTGTCATCTAGAGTGTTCAGCTATTTCATGACAAGTCACTTTACCACCAGAGTGAAATCATTTTCTCAGAAAAAAAGATCTGGACTAGAAATGACTTCTTAACATTGTTTCCCCCTTGAAGCTATACAGTTTTGGTTTACAGAGTGTATCCTCAGTCCTATCTTTCACTGCACCATTTGTGAAAGAAAAAGAGAAGTGTTGGCCACATACAAATAGAATCTTAGGGTGAAAGGGCAGGCAAGGTCTGGAAAAGCCCCCTTACTCTGATGGGCTACCACAGTGGGCATATTTGCTCCATCTTGCCCACTCTGTCCCCCAATTGAGAGACTTGATCTGAAGGTCCTTTATGGTTCACTATCCTGTTCTATTTTCTGCTTTCAAGTACTTATTGACCTCCACATGTAATATTTGAACACCCTTGATCTAAATGGAATCGTAATCTGTGCCTTGAAAGTATTCATCCCAAGGGCAGAGAGTTAGTATTATTATATTCCATTTCGGAAACTTGCAACATTGCTAGGTGCAGATACTAGAAGATGGTCAACAGGGAAACAGATGCCCAGAGGACAGGAGTGTCAGGGAAACTGACTTTTCCCCTGGACTCTTTCACGTGATTGGATACAGGTATATAGCTCACCCAGTCAAAGAAGTCAATATACATTAAACATTTTTTCTTAAATATTTTTTAAAAAGCATTTTCCTACTTAGAATCCTTTTCTACTTAGAAGATCTACATAGTGATTCCATAGCCAAGTTCATGTGAAAGACTTCCTTCTTTCCTTTCTCTCTGATTGGTGTGCTCTTATTTCCTCTAGGATCCCCCAATCCTGCACCCTGATTCCCATATACTTTTACAATGGATGCTCAAAATTCACAGTTTTCTATAATAACCATGTATGTTTGTTAAATAGCATGGCTCACATGGATCTGGAATTTATCACCCCTTTGAAAGTAAACCCATGTCAGAAAATTTCAGCAAGAAGATATTGTTTCATTGGTAAGGGTATGGGAAAGGCCATCGTGACTGGGAGAAAGGAAGGGAGTGAAATATCTGGGATACTGCATACTTTACCAGTTATGTCATGCTGTTTGAATGACTCACTGTAGATCTGATACTGATTCGGACAATGTTTCTTCAACCACTTGCAGACATCCTGCTGGGTCCATAGAGCCACCGGTTTAGACAGCTTCACTGTAGCTGACTATAAATAAAGAAGGAAAAGAAGATCTGTCAATGCTGGCCCCATGCCTAGGAAGACACTCTAGTTAAAAGTCTTAAGAGTGTGTTAAAGGCTACAGACTGGATTCCTCAAAGATAAATATCTAGTTCTTGTCTTCCTCCTAACCTCTGCAGACCTTCTCAATACTGCTGCAAAGCACAAAGAAAAGGTCCAGGTGGAGAAGCTGTGAAAATGATCTAACCATCTCTGCTGAGAAAAAATGCCAAGGAATCCCTAGGAAGTAGTGTTTTTTAATGAATACTCTAGCAAAAAACAAGGGGTTGCTAAGCAATTAATTACATTATAGGGGAGAAATAGCTGTGGTCCCAAGTGCATTTCTTTGTATTCCAAGAAGGTATTTATCTCTTGCTGTCCCTGACTTTTCTAGAGCCTAGTACAACACTCTCCTGGAAGTGCTAATAATAATTTTAGGAATGAATGTTATTGGATTTAGATAACTGCATACTAAGAACTGCAAGTCTGCCTGGGGGCTCTGGACTTACGGTGGCCCTGAAATGGTCAGGAGCATTAGTTATACCAAACTGGGGAAGCAAAAAGTCAATTCCACCAGGATGTGGAGAGCAGTAATAAGATAATGGGGGCAGTTAGGCTTTATACAGAAGCCAACTAGTCAAGGTCTTTTTTTTGTTCATTGGATTTTTCAGGGAAGTATTAATGAGGAAAACACACACACACACACACACACAAACACACACACACACACAGAGGGAGTGAGAAGAGCTTAGCCTTTGACAAATGATGGATTACAAATTCATTTATTAGTGAATAAGCATCAATTTCATGCCAGATGATGGTCTCCCTCAGAGATCCCAGGAATTTGGTTTTGGACAGATTAATGCTTCACTATCTAGAATTTTTATCATGCTGGATCAGTGTTTGCCAAGAAAGTAAAGCCATCCTATTGGAAGCTGTTTGAAGGCTCCTGGGTGGTACAAGGACGTGGCCATTATTATCCCTGCTCTTCACCATAGGCATCATTTCCTTCCACTTCTCTATCAAATCTTTCAGATTAAGGCAAGGGGAGAGCCTTCATTTGGTAGGAGTGTGATTGTAACACCTGCTGACATGTTTGTTGTTGTTGTTTCCTTGGCAAAGAAATGGCTTGCTTCAGTCTCAGAATCTTAAAAAAAAAAAAAAGCAGTATATCTAGCATCTAATAACTTTTAAAAACTTTTTAGTACATTTAAAGTTACCCTTTATTTGATGGCAAATAAATTATGGCAAAATAAATTTTATTTTCTGTAGCAATATCTTCTTAGCTTTTTAAACAAATTTGAGTTTAAAGAAACAACTTTCCCAGAGGCCAATTTTTAGTAAAAAAAAGAAACAATGGTGCAGATGATGAGAGAGTCATAGTGAAAACAGTGGAAGCAATATGGAAGCGATTCAAGGTTGGAAAGCACAACGCTCAGGTGTTTTTTTTTATTTGTATATTTCCAGTTATATGAGTCCTTAGGTCATTGCTTTCACAATAATCACAATGCAGATCACTTTTTATTTTGTACTGTAATATTTTTCTTTTATTAATTGTGGTAGTTGTGTTTTCCAAAGATGATTTTATATATGTCCATATATTCATATATGTATGTTTTCATATAGACATATATACACATACATATGTATCTGCTTTTCATTCAACGGGACTGACATTTATTTCTTCCACTAACATGTGGGGTTGATGCTCCCTCTGATTCCATTTCAGCAGGGTATGTGACCTTCCTGACCAATGTAGTACAGTGGAATTGATGCTATGTGACTTCTGAGGCTAGGTCATAAAAAAGACACAGTTTCTGCCTGATTCGCTCTCTGGCACTGACCTTTGGAAACCCACCATCATGCTGTGGGGAAGCCCAGGCCACATGGAGAGACCACGTGTAGGAGTTTTGGCCAATTTGCCAGCTAAGGTCTCAGTTGACAGTCATCACCAATGACCAGACAAATGAATGAACAAGCCTTGGATGATTCCAGCCACCAGCCTTCAAATCTTCCAGCCGAGGCCCCCAGATACCACAATAGAGAGTCAAGCCATCTTTGCAGTGCCCTGAGTGAATCCCTGACCCACATAATCCATGAGCATCGTAAACAGTTGTCTAATGCCGCTAAGTTCTGGGGTAAATTGTTTTGCAATCCTAGTAAATGGAATACGTGGTGATGTTGGGAGGGTGAGCTCTGTTATAATTTTGTGTTCCCCAGAGTGTCTTGCTTTCAGCAGATGTCGTGTATATCCACAAGGATTAAGTGAATGAATTAATGAATGAAACAGCATTCACAGACATAGCTTGCTATTTAATCAGCAGTGACTTTCACGTTCAGCCCTTGCTTCTCTACACTGCTGTGTGTTGTGCCTACATGGCTCCTAATGAAACATGCCTGCAGCCCTTCATACTAGAGTAATGGGCTACAGCCATTTTCCCTCTAACCTCTGTGGGAAACCATACTGACTTTGCCTAATTTTGATGAGAGAGGAAGACGTTGGGCATGGAGGGCATAAATGAATAAATATTTTTATTGTTGATGATGTTTAGGTTTTCTTTTTCTCTTTGCTCATCATCACGGCCTTTCCTTTGCATGATTAGGAAACTAGAATTTTAGATCTTTTAGCTAGAAATCACTTACCACCAGGTTTCACAAGTCAGCACCTCTGAATCTAGTTCTTTCCTGCTCTACAAATGTTCCTTCAGATTAGCTGAATGAGTTTATAGCTGACACATCATTACCCTGAAACTCTTGCAAGTAAAGCTAATCACATCTTTTGAAAATTCCTGTAAACCAGTCACAGAAGGCTGTAAGCAAGGAAGGGAAAGGCAGAAGGATAAAGTTGCTTACACATTAATATACTAAACTTTTTCCTTCTTGGAAGGTCATGCTTTAAGTTGCTCATTTCCTGGGAAAGGGAGGACACTCAGCCTCAACTGGGCTTCAGGTGGAGATTTACCCAAACACAACAAGCTGACTCAGAATGCATCCTCACTAGCCCACCCTGTATGCTTTTTGTCATGCGCATCCCTGTGAAGAGACCACCAAACAGGCTTTGTGTGAGTAATAAAGCTCTTTAATCACCTGGGTGCAGGTGGGCTGAGTCCGAAAAGAGAGTCAGCGAAAGGAGATAAGGGTGGGCCAGTTTTATAGGATTTGGGTAGGTAAAGGAAAATTACAGTCAAAGGGGGGTTGCTTTCCGGTGGGCAGGAGTGGGGGTCACAAAGTGCTCAGTGGGGGAGCTTTTTGAGCCAGGATGAGCCAGGAAAAGAACTTTCACAAGGTAATGTCATCACTTAAGGCAAGGACCGGCCATTTTCACTTCTTTTGTGATGGAATGTCATCAGTGAAGGCGGGCCAGGGCATTTTCACTTCTGTTGTGATTCTTCAGTTACTTCAGGCCATCTGGGCAGACGTGCAAGTCACAGGGGATGCGATGGCTTGGCTTGGGCTCAGAGGCCTGACACTTTTGTTCTAAGTTTTCCTTTTATCATGAATTCAGAGCTTCTGAGGCTAACACTCAAGGAGCTGCTTTGCTTTATCCTTCAGCATATGCTCTTAGTAGGCATATACTAGTAAGAGCATATACTCAAAACTTTAGGCATAGATTTTTAAGACTGTATGAGGCTGGGCACAGTGGCTCATGCCTGTAATCTCAGCACTTTGGGAGGCTGAGGCGGGCAGATCACCTGAGGTCAGGAGTTCAAGACCAGCCTGGTCAACATGGTGAAATCCTATCTCTACTAAAAATACAAAAATTAGCCGGGCATGGTGGCATGCACCTGTAATCCCAGCTACTTGGGAGGCAGGAGGATTGCTTGAACCTGGGAGGTGGAGATTGCCTTGAGCAGAGATCGTGCCATTGTACACCAGCCTGGGTGATAGAGCGACACTGTCTCATAAAATAAAAATCACTGTCTCAAAAAAAAAAAAAAAGTTAAGATGGTATGAACCTACAGAAATGACTCCATGTAAACAGGCATAATAAGTAAAATGAGGGGAATAAAGATTCCTACCTTTTGTCTCTTCTTAATCAGATGGTAATAAAAGTATTGATACCTTTTATCAGGTGATTCTTAGCCTTGGTATTTTAATAAAATTACTGTTAGTTTGCCACACCTTAAGAGCTGTAATGACTCCAGTTACCCTAGTCTGCTTCTTCTTTTGGGATTCTCAGAGCTGACTTTGATTTGTTCTGCCTGAAATTCTTTTTGTAGCACCCAGGGTCAACCTCAGTTACTCCCCCTCCCATCAACATTTCCTCCATCCCCAACAGCTACCAAATGTTGGGAGTGAATGTCATAATCTGATTCATTTAAAGAGCTTACACTTTACTTCCATGTGCAATTAGAACAACAAGAAGTACATGTTAAACCATGCCAGTTGAATTCAACATATTGTCCCACTGAAGGTAGGAAAGGAGAGGCAGAGCTGTCAACGCCTTCAACCGCCTCCTTTCCTCAACATCCAACACCTACACTCTATTCACAGCCATCCCTAGACAATGACTTTCTCTGATATGCTGCTGGGTTTTTTTTCCCGCTGTAGGGGCCTAAGCCTAAATAATAGTTCATAAAGCAAAGAAATAAAGCATTTCACATTTACTAGAAACAGTAAACTCATAAGAAAAAAACATCTTGCCCAACGGCAAACATTAAAAAAACATTTGCCCCAGTTCTCTTTCTCCATGTTCATGTCTACCACATCATTTTCTGAATTTACAACCCTGGAGACAATTTTGGTTTATTTTGCTGCCCTGAAACAGGCCCGAGGCAATTTGTTATCTTAACCCCTATGCATAGTGACACCAAGCAGAATTCCAGACATTTCCTTTCTGAATTGGTCCTGGCCTTGCTACAGACAAACTGAAAGTGCATTTCAGATGCTTTTCCTTTCTGATGCCTTTCTGTTTTACAGGAAGAACTCACTTTATGCAAAATACACATTCCTGAGAGAAAGGTTGTTTGCAAATTACTTTTTTCTGG